GCATGGAACCATAACGCACTTCAATTGTTACCATTTGACGCTTTCACTACACTGAAGGGTTCAATATGGTAGACCCTGACTGTTTATTATTTTATACGAGCTGACACGACGGACGTTGTTCTTTTCAAATTCCAGTAAATTGTTATTTGTGAGTCATACTATAGAAAAAAGAATCATATTCCAGAATTTCGTAATTTTCCGGGCAACATTTCCATTTTTCTGTCGTTTTTAACCTTATTAATTAATTTAATACATTTACGTTTTAACGTTTAGTATAGATTTCTCAGGGATGAGATATTTTCCCGCTGAAAAGAGTAGGTATATCTGCCTAGATATCTAGCTATCATCATACCAAATTTCATCAAAATCTGTCTAGTGGTTTTCTCATGATGCGATCACAGACAGACAGGCAAAAATTCTAAAAACTATACAACGGCCTCTTCGGAATATTAACGGCCTCTGTATCGATAATAATGACTATTTCAATAAAATTTCCAAAAATTATTTAATGTACAGATTCGACACAGTTTCAATTTTATAATATGTATAGATTATTAAAAATTTAAGTCTACTTGAAAATTAATTAGAACACGCTTATTTCTAGAGTTGCTCTAAAATAGCTCATATATTGACTCTTTAGCGTTTTTGAGATAAGTTGCTTCATTCATATTGATTAACCTAGTTAGAGCTAACAAACGTACATATTATGCAAAACATGAGATTATTGAAAAGAGAACCTGCCTTTTATCACCTCGCAAATTATCCTATTAATTTGTTCAAACCACTTTATAAGCATATATCTATTGCCTTATACATTTGAAGTACTTATACATACATAATAATTCGCATATTAGAACACGAATCGTGGTGGTTGAACGTAGTCCAGGATTCGATATCCGGGCCAAAGTATATATTTGTAGTATACGTACAGATGTTTGATATCAATTTGATAATTATACCAAAATTTCTGCGTTTTAGCTAACACTGTGTGTCTCTATATTTTAGAAAATCTGCAAACAGAAGAACTTGAATAGAGGAAAATGACAGTTTTTTTTCTTAAATTGCTAAGTTTGAAGTGAAATCTTTACATAGTATAAAATTAAGTCGTTTCCGCTGTCTGTTCGCTTAGATCTTTTAAACTGCTCAACGGATTTTAATATAGCTTACAGCAATAGATAAAGTGATCCAGGATTCAGGTTTATATGTATAATACATGCATATTATAAGTACAGAGAAGCCGAGAAATTCAAAGATTTGTATTTCATACTAATTTTTTTCATACTAATTTCATGAGAATTTTATTAATATAACACTCAATTTGCTTCATTAATAAATTACAATTTTAACGAAAAACCTGAGATTTTTAAACAAAATTACTTCTTGCGTTACTTTTGGGATACCTATAATAATGTATAATATTTTAGCCGTATTCCTGTTGAATGCGATATAATAAATAATAATAAAAAAAATTGCCTACTTTTTTACTTAAACTTTAAGTTATATCTAATATCAGCTTCTTAATTTTTCTTTTAATCGATCAATACGATTATTTACTTCAACTAAATATCAAACCCGCTACTTTATAAGTTATACATAAGCCATGCTAACCACAACACCACAACGCTTGATAGTCAATTCAATTAAAGGCGGGGTGTTTAATTCTATGAAAGACAGCATTTCGGCTGTCAATTGAAAATAGTAATGATTTTCCATTTTATTGACAGACGGACGGACGGGTATGTCGCATTATAACAACTTCTTCTATTGTTTTTAAAAAGTTCTTCATTAGGTGTTGTCTGAAATACTTACAAAATTATATTTATGGAAATAAGAACGAAGTTTATTTTAATATTAAACTAGCAGAACCCACGGCTTCGCTCGCGCTAAAACTACAAAAAATCTCTAAAAAGGTAGTTTTATACAAACTTTTATCCCCTATTTTACCCCCATATAGGGTGAATTTCGAAATGCGAAAATGCGTATTTATTTAATTTTATTGAAGAGCATTAATACCAAGTTTCTAATAATTCTGATCATCAATATTTTTCTGGATTATATTATAACGTGTTTTCCAGTGGGAATAAGATAATCTCCCGCGGTAAAAAGTAGTCTATGTCACTCTCCAGCCCACCAACTAACTCCAGACAAAAATCACGTCAATCCGTTTCGACGTGAAAGAAGGACAAACAAACAAAAACACTTTCACATTTATAATATTAGTATAGACTAGCACGTAAATTAGTTACGTTTAAACGTTTAGTATAGATTTCTCAGAGATGAGATATTTCCCGCAGTAAAAAGTATCCTATATGTTGAACCGGATAACCAGCCACCATCATACCAAATTACATCTAAATCAATCTAGTGGTTTTCTCGTGATGCGTTCCCAGGCAGACAGACAAAAATTCTAAAAACTATAGATTCGGCCTCTGCATCGATATTAATGACCATTTCAATAAGATTTTCCAGAAGTATTTGATGTACAGATTCGACTCCGAATTTTATTATATGTATAGATAGATATGTATAATATTATTCTCTAAGCATAAATTGTTATTTCCTTAAATCAAATTGTAGTTTTTAAATTCTTATAAAACACAGAACCTTTCTCCACGAAAACCCACTTGACTGATTTTATTATTATTTTGCTTCAGTACCCTAAAACATTTTTTAAATCAAATGATTTAATTATTACATTACAGTATTTTTATTTAAGAGTTTCAAGTTGTACTCAAAGGTAGCCGATGTGTTAATTCGAATTAATCGAGTCGTGTTGTTTTAATATCGACTTTCTTAAAAATCGGATTAAAAGTTTTTAATGTTTATTCGTATAATATGACGATTTATAATCAACAAATCGATAATTAGCTTTAAAACGAATCGATTAATCGATATTATCGTTAACCCGGTAAATTGTTCTTGATAGCCGTATTTAATGTCAGGAAATAATTTATGATAATTATGTGTTTTGAGGACAATAAAAATGTAGTTGTTTTTGGGGTCTTGCCAGAAAAATCATTTAAATTAAAAGTATCGATTTTAAAATTATGATTTTATTTTTATTTTTGGTCTAGTCAAACAAGAACGATTAATATACGATTTTTATACTTTTTATATAGATCGAGTAATGTCAGTTACTTTCAGGCACTTTGTTTTCAGTGAGGTTATATATTTTTATTTCATTAAAATTAAATACACAATAAATTCGTTTTTTTTTTTAATTCATCTAATTAAAAAAAACTTTAATATATTAAGTATAATACCTATAGTAGGTACGTTAATAATGTAGTCGTACACTTAGAGTATTAAATAAAATAAGAGTTTTATTATATAGAGTTCTTATATAATCACTTAATATGTAAATTGTTATGTTAATTTCCCATTTATGAGATATTATAAATTTTGTTTTAACTCGGACACTGGATCTCGTGCTCTTATTATTATGGAAGCAATTTTAACTGTTCTGGACGTTTTATTCTGTTATTTTTTACTTCAGTGCGTATCTATTATATTTTATTTAGTTTTATTATCAAAAAAACTTATTTGATATCATTTATATCCGTATTCTGGCGTGATTAAATAAAAAACATCCATCCAAACTTTCGCATTTATAATATTTATGGGATAAGCACATCCAAAAAGAACCTCCTTTTTGAAGTCGGTAAGCAAATTAAAACATCATAATTATCAACTAAACGTTAGTGGTTTATACATACATATTATTTATGTATACATATATGAATAAATCGGTAGAAATATTAATTGAATCATAAATTGCTTACAAACAGACGTATTATTGTTCTTTTGGTAAATATATCTATATACTATAGGTATGAATGTAAGGCGCAATGCGCTTTTTACCATTCAAATTGCAAGTGACAAAGTTGCTGGCTTATCATGAAACTGCTATATTTTAAGTGTCGTCTACTCTGTAATTTTACACAGTATTTGAATTGTATTCTAAAATTATTTGAAATATATATTGTAATTACCTTTGTTTTAGATTACTTTGTTTTAGTAATGATAATGAATACAAAAACATATAAAACATGAACATATATAACATAAAAAACATATATTTAGTAAAACAATGCTAGTGTTAACTTTTTAACAAAAAATATTTACCCTAACATGGAATCGAACTCACTATAATATGTATCTTGTATTACTACTAAGTGTAATAGTCATTTAACTTAAATTAGAAACAGTAAAAAAATATATGTTAAAGGAAATAAATACTTTTACGAGCTATTTTAAATCTCCACCATGCACTTCCGCTCAATATTTCGTTACGTGGAAGGTAAAGTTAAATAAGCGTTACATCGTTAACCTACTTCGCAGACCATACGGGCATAATACATGGCGTTTTGAAGGGGAAAAATATAATATATGCACATATATATAAATTTACTTGAAATAAAGCAGTATAGTAGGCTTTTAAACTTCAATAAAACGTAAAAAAAGCTAAAACTATTTTGGCGTTAAAATGTACGTACGTTATGAAAATACCTTACATTAAAACTCGCAAACGGCTCTTGATTCGCTTAAAATGAAGCGGTCGCTTGGTAGTTAGAATTTATTATAAAACATAATATATTTAGTTACTCAAATATGCCATGAGAGTTAGTATTCTTTAGTAATGGGCTAGGGTGAAAAGTAGCCTTATACTAGCTCTAAGGGTTTTTTAAGCATTATTTTGTATATAATATACATTTTATAATAATGACAAAATATCGATCTATACAAGTGTATTGAAAGCTGATGTCCAATCAATCATTGTGTGATACATAATTAATACTTCGCTGGTCAAATCACCCCCGGTAATTTGTCCGTGAATAGTCTCTTATCAGTCTATCATGAAAATGGGGTAGGAAATAATCAATATTTTGCTACCCCACCCCACGCATGCGTGTTTCATGGTTGTGGTGGTGAAACACCATGGAACCGTGGTGCAATCCCACAAACCATTCTGAGTCGAAGATCCGACGTGGTACGACGCCATGAGGACTTTGGAAATACAGAGTAAGTATCTGCCATTTATTATAAAGTGAATTTACTTTGATTTTTTTGAATTATACTGGTTTTAGATTAATGAGTTTAATACATACGATTGCGGTATTTAGTTTAAAGCTTGAAAAACCTAAGCTATATATTAACAATAATTTTATAATATACTGTCTGTCTGTATATGTTGTTTGATCTAACATTTTTTATTTTTCATGGATCTTTGAAATTTTCTTTATTTAGTATATCTAATAATTAACATTAATTTCGCAGAAGTCAGCAACTTCCGGACATGGGTAAGGCAACAAAATTTTTGGGCACACGCTTTATTCCAACACTGTGAATAATTAAAGTAAATACATAGTATACGTTAGACGTACATACATACGGTATACCAACATTTCTATGTACATAACTTGAATAAACATGCTTTATACACTGGCGATATTTGTTTAATGCCTCACCTCTATATTACGTTAAGGGTCGATTCCATTAGAGATTGCACCCCTTTTGTTTTACCCATGAACACAGTTTTCCTTTTTTATTTAATTATTTTTGACAGTATTTTTGACTATTGATGACCATTTATAATTTATGCGATGTATTTAAAGAAGAAACATAAACAATTTACTATCAAATTATTGAATATATTTTTTATTTAAAAAGCAAGTTACAGTGAAAACATATCAGACTCTTCGTATTAAAAATAAATCTTATCATGGAACAAAGTACATATAAATATAATAAAAAAGGCTAAGAATCGCGAAGTATTGGAACTGATAATAATATAATCATGCAACTAAATATAAAATATTTTATTATAAACGAAAGTTAACAAAAATAAAATACAACAAAGAAGTATTTTATTAGACACCCTTATTTATTCCACGCTGTAAAGCATTAAGTAACTGAAATGAACTCGCTAATAGCTCTCAACACAAACAAGGGCTAATGCAATTAATTAATTCTTGCCCTACCCTTGTTTTATATTTTCCACGGGGATCGAAATAGCTAAATTAAAATTAATTATCGTTAAAATAACTCTCCTGACTTCAGTACTTCTGTTGTCTACACTAAGAGAAGAGATAGAAAAAGTGGATATAACGAAACTATAATATAGGTAATATTCATATTCCAGAAATATTATATAATACTTATGTAAGCTTATGTAAGTTATCTTAAATTAAAAAAAATTAATCGTCTTAATGAAACTTCACCTTAACAAAAGCAAACTGCAAACAAATTATATTTCTTTTGTAACGTAATACAAATTAGTAATGCTACTCCCTAATATTTTTCTTTACATTTGATATCGTTATTTATTTAACGTTTATTTCTAAACCTACTTCATAGTAAATATCTTATATCAAATATAACTCTTCGATTAATTATCTATTGCTATGATATACTTAGTAGGTTTATTCAAATTAATTCTTTTTTTTTTTGAGAAATAGATGCATTTCCATGTCCTAAATTAAGATTTTCATAAAATATTGAGTATATTTTATACAGAGTGAAGTGTCTAGTATTCTCAGTGTTCGTAACAGGTTTCTAAATAGGAAATTCTGAAAAACAATCTTTGATCTTCAATGAAAAAATGGGATCAAATTAATTTTCACTAGTTTAATACTTTCTCAGATTTGATACGTAATCACGGATGTAATACGGACCAAATAGCAAAATTAATCCGTGAAATTGCGGGTTTTTTTTTGAAGTTTTACTGTAAATTAAGTAAGATTATAACGAATCTATAAGATAAAATCCAAATAAAATAAAAAACAAAAATCAATAAAGTTACAAAACAAACAACTACAAACTTTTATCATTTATCGAGATTGTTTTCAAACTAATCATATGATGAAATATAAATTATAACACTTATTTTTATCTATAAATTTTCATTTACGATATCGTTGGATTAAAGTGTAATACCACATAACAGCTTCTTTGAATAAGAAAAATAAAAAACACAAAATTAAATAATATTTGATCATAAAGAACTACATTCATTCGTTGGGAAACGCTTATGAAAAAAATTAACAATATGTCAGATGCACTCTAATGAACGCGTGGGCCGTCCGTATACAAGGTACGTGGAACCTGAATTAGACTGCGTCGTAAATTAAATTGAGCGTCAATAAACGGCACGTGTGTCGCCTACGGTGATGTTAGGATGATTTTACACAGTAATATGAACGTTGCGTTTTAATTTGTTTTTTTATAAATATATATTTTTTTATAAAAAAAGGATAAATATCAGTAATATAAATTAAATGTGGTTTAATGATAATCTTTTTATAAGCTACATTTAAAAAAATACGTTTTCAATTTATAATAATTGCTACGTTAAGTACATTTTATTATAAATTTTATGTATTCGTATGAATAATCTTGTTTAAATTAACTTTTAACTTTATGTCAGTATTATCTATAGGTTTGAATTATAAAGAATCTGATATCTTTTGAAAGCATTTGAAAAATTTTAAAACTATATTTTAAAGCTCCCTAAAATTATTTAATATTACACAAAATATAAAAGGGCATAATGTTTAAAGTAATAATAAGCAGGTTTTAATAACATATTTATTTAATATTATTTAAATATACATTAAATATTAACATTTTCAAAGGCAAATTAATAATTAATTTCAAAATTCTTTGTTTTATGAATATACACTATTATAATGAAAAAATGCAACATATGGTAAAATTAACGTTAAATTTTATTATCATTTTTATTGTGACTTCTATTAGTTGATATTATTGATTGTGTAAACTATGACTAATTTAATTTATTCCATCTAGTTAGCGCATAAAAGAACTATTGGCAAAGTATCTTAAATATTGTTCTCAACTTTATTAGTTTTTGATTTATATTTATTTTTACTTTTATTATTTTAAATTTGTTCATAAATATAAATTATAGTCTATTGACTTCTAAATTATATTTTATTAATCGAGTATTTACTATACATACTAAAACAAAATATTTTCAAAGTATAATTTTGTTTTATTATATAGCATATTCGTATTTAGGAAATCTATGATTCATCTGTTAAAAATGACATCGATTAATATAATTGTAATATATAATATATTATATAATACTAGCGAGTCACCCTCACTTCGCTCGGGTTCGTCCCTAGGTAGGTTTTAATTTTTTTGAGCGGAGCTATAATTTTTTTCTAAAATAAAAGAAGCCTATGTTTCTCCCTATAACATCATCTATCTTCCAGTTAAAGTCCCGTCAAAATCAGCCCAGCCGTTTCAGAGATTATCCGAAACAAACAGACAGACAAAAATTTAAAAAAATGTGTTTTTCTTATAAGTACCGTATATAATTTCATACGCATTTAGTAAAACACTGTTATTTTAACATTACAAACAGACACTTCAATTATATTTATCTGTATAGATGATGTTATTCAATTTGATATATATATTCTAGTTTAAATTATTTTTTTATTCTCCAAAAACGATAAAACAATGAAATATCAACCTCTGAAATCCTTACTATAGGTACTTTTACTATTTAGAAATATTTTTTTAAATCCCTAAAGAATATTAGTATTGATCATTCAGTTTTTTCAATTTTGTTGAAATAAGAAACGAGCTTGTTTTATAAGTTTTGCGATAAATAATCTTTCTGCTTACGTTATAATAATTTCGTTAATGTTAGCGTTAGTATTAGTTAGACGATACGTTTGGCTCAGTTTGTAGTGACCCTACTAGTTGTGCCGGCGGTTGCGGGTTTGGGTCCCAATGGTTCGGGGCATTCATTTGTTTAATAAGCACGAATGTTTGTACTCCAGTCATGGGTGTTTATATTTATAATATGTATGTATTTAAAGTTATATATGTGTAGTGTATCAACTATCTGGTATCCATAACACAAGCCTCGTAGCGTACCATGGAACTAGAGTGTGCTGTGTGTTAATGTCCCAACATATTTATTATTATGTATTTAATAGGCATAGTTCTTTAAGGAATACCCTCTTATAATGTATTATATAGTATCTGTATATTTTTCCTTCCTTTCTTGTACGTTATATTCACGAGTGATGGTAGAGTCTTTAGAGTTAAAGCATACACTAACGATGTTAAGTGTTATTTCTTCTTTTCCAAACCTTAAGGTGTTCAGAATGAAGAAAAGAAATACTAATAAAAAATTTACAAAACATGTTATTTAAGACATATTTAAGAAAAACAATGACTTTTAGAATTTTTATCTGTTTGTCCGTGCGTTTGTCCGCGCTAATCTCAGAAATGGCTTAACCGATATGAGTGCGGTTTTCATTAATGTGTTGCTGTAAGATTAATTAAAAATGTCCTATATGTTTTATTTCAATCGGTTCATAAATAAAAAGTTATGTATCAATTTTAAGAATAATCTAGTGACGAACTCGAGCGATGCGAAGATGAGTCGCTAGTATATCAATAATTTGCTCACTACATTATAATTCAATTCTAAACATTTATAGCATTCATTAATAAAACCATATAATACAAATAATTTGATTATAATTCAAGATAATTATATAATGGATATTTCATTAATCGAGTTTCCAAACAATGGGCACTAAATAGCGCATTAACACCTTTTGTGTTTTATTTATTGTCAGATTGGAATATTTAAATGGAATATCACTGTTTTCATAACGATGTTTTATCTTAAAGACACTAAGATGGAGAAATTTATTTATTTAACGAAAATAATAATATGTTTTCCATTTGATTTCTTTATTTAAATAGCACGCGCCTACTATTATGCATAGTTGACTTTCAACATTTTCTAGCAATCTGTAGTAGGTACAATACGAACATACTAATATTAGATCGCTTTATACGTAATATTCGGCTACTATTCGGTATTCGGCCTATTCGGCTATTTTATCCTATTCAGCCGAATACCGAATATTTAGATACTATTCGGCCAAATACCGAATACTTAAGTAATATGTTTTGTTGTAATCAGATTAAGTAACATGTTTTATGGTTATCAGATATATAGAATAATAAGGACTGAATACTTTTGCCTTATATTCGGCTATTCGGGCAGAAAGCCCACCGATATTATATATTATTTTATTTTCGGTATTCGGCGTATGGCCAAATATACTATTCGTTGCAAGTCTAATCTACATACTTTTGTATGTAGAAACATTTTTTACATAAATAAGTATTCCAATCGCAGAAGGCGTACTTTTGCTATCGTTAGAAAAGAGCTGCCTTTCTGCGAGCTTATTTAGTTCTTTAAGCTACCATTTTTTGGCAATTTAATAATATCCTACCATTGCATATTGTTTCAAAATGAACTCCATAGAAATTTCTCTCGCTCTCAACTATATTTGGAGAAAAAAATACTGGCTATTAAGCTCTATAATCATTTAATTTCACAATAAAATAGCTGTACATGTTCACTTAAAATTTTCAAATTAATTTTCTTGGTAATGACTTCAAAGCGTGCCAGTTAAGCACAGACTACTGCTGAGGAAACACGAAGGAGATTGGTCGGTACTCAAAATGTTTAATAAATCAATCTTGTTTGTCAAACGCCTTATATTGTCTACCACTTTATTTGGCTTATCTTGTTCTTGCTCTCTCGATCTAATCTTAGATGATCCAATTTAGGAAGAACTTTTGGCTTCTGTTTACACATAATTTAAACTATGATGTAAGTAATAGTTCTAGAGTTAAATTGTTATAGGATTTGTCATGCTAGTAGAGTAATTGTGTACCAAAAATGGCAATGTACTGTCTATAATAATAAATTTCAAGTATTTACATTATAATCATATTTGTAACAAGCAAAATTTGTACAAATTAAGTCACTATAATAATGATTTCATGTGGTAGAATGTGTATATTATAATTTACAATGTATTTGTGCTTTATCTGCCACTTCCAGGCATATTAAGCTTAAGGATCCAGGAGTAAGAATTTTGATAAGCAAAAAAAATATAAAAAGGGAAATTATGTAATATTCTTATGAAGATTCTATGAAATAACTTTCGCAAAATTATGCCTGTCCATATCTTAGGACGGTATTGTGGAAGTAACATTAAAAGAATCCTCTTATTTTACATAAAACTATGTTTTCGTAATTTTTTCGCCGAACTATTTTGATTTATTTTTCCATTCTCGTCTAGTTTCAGTCTCTCCCGTGATCATTTTGGTTGTAAAATATTCGAATCGTCACAAAATTTAAAAACTTTGTAAAAATAGTTTTATTTAAAATATTTTATATTCGCATAAACTTAGGAAAGTATTATAAGAACGCTCTTTTAAAGCAGCTGGTGTCTAAATAATATTATAATGAGTGACAACGGTGATCATATCTCTCGATTTACAAATTCAACCCAACACCATAAATCATCTGTCCGTGACATAGATTAAAACAAAATGCTACATGATTTTTTACTATGTATGTAATTAATTATTGTTTTAAATTTTTAGAGGCTATTTCGTTAATTTTTTCACCGACTTCGTAAAAGGAGGTCGAGGAGTTCCACTTGAAGCTAGCACACGAGTTATTTATTGTGGTTTTACGCATATTTTATGTTTGTGTCCATTTTCGGGTTTCTTAAGAAAAATTGCATATCAAAAGGTGCTAAAAATTAGTATTGAGCTTCGTGCTTAAATCAATAAATTACTTTATTTTTTAAATATCTCTATACATATAGATTAAAATATTCCATATTTCAAATAATACCGCATACCAAGTTATCGATCTCACAAGTATACAATTTTTGACTTTATTTGACTATCACTTTGTTACTTTATTAAATTGCATTTTTATAAAAAATACATATTGCTCACTAAAGTAGGCACTTGCCACTTAAAGACAATTTTTTTATTACAAGCAATCACAATGATCAAATATATTTCTATAAAATTTCAATTATTCAGTACAAAAGACTTCAACGATACACAGCAGCCAATTTGGTTTTAAGCTGAACTTGTCTTACAATATAATAACGTTTGTAGATATTTTTATAAATATTCTTTCTTTATAGGCTTAAAATATTATATAAACTTTAAGTAACTTTAAAATCTTTACGTAACATAAAATCAATATATAAAATGTATAATAATTCGCAATGATCGCGTGCCGACATCGATTCAGCTTGGCTTTCGTAATCACATTTAATTAGCTTAAATACGATAAAAAATAGTGAGCATGTAGTATTTCTAGTGCTAGTGGTAACATTTATGGTAGTATCAACAAGAACAGACTGAGTAAAAAATATAACAAAATAAATAAAACTTTTATTATTATTTTCTTATTATTTTCGTAATTTTATTTTTATTTAGATTTTTTGTTGAAAATGTTTCAAATGTCTTGCAGCAAATATGGTCACGGAAAAGATTAAGATTTTTAATATTTTAAAAGTTTTTCGAGGTACTGTGATTGCTGTAAAGTATTCGATTTCGAATGACATTTGTCAGGAACCAAAAATCAAAATAATTAAAAGTTGTTGTTATGGTAATGTTATTGTTATGTTCTTGTTAAAACATAAGGCAAATGACTATAAAAAACTCGAAAAATGACTTAAAAAAGCTAGAAATATTACTACTCGACGTATATTACGTCGAGTAGTGATATTGAAATAAATACTACAAGTTTAAATATTTTTTATGCGATCTGTACTTCTGGTAGAATGTAGGTTATGTCCTAACAGCACGTTACCTTAACTGACGATACCTTAACGGATTATACTCATTCAAAATTACACTCATTCACCTGAATTGGCTATTTAAATATAAATGAAATTAGTATCAACGAATATTATTCTAGAAAAAGCTAGAATAACTTATATTTTGTATCGTTACTACATATCTTAATTTATATAACTGAATTGTGAAAATGTACCAATCGACAAACAGACTGTTGTATAATTATTTATAATAGTACATGGCAAGCCTTAATTATTTGAAATTAGCATATTATTTAAACCATTAGACGGGATAAGATCGTATTACCACATACCCTTCACTAGTCAACATCGTCAGAGTGCTGTCAATTATTTGTTGTCAACGGATTTCTAATATAAATTATTTAGTTAACGACATATTTCTATGTAGGGGGTTTAGATAAGATGTCATTCTACAATCGTTGGAGAATAGAAATGTTAAAAAATATATGTATGAGAATCACATATTATTAATTATATGATATATCATTTTTGTCAATTTGTTATTTCAATACAATTTTTCAAATTGCTATTCTGTAAATATCTTGGTGGTATCTACCTGAAGTATGAATTGTATACTTAAGTTATTACTAAGTATTTTTTAGGCTGTGGTAGCCCAGTGATAACATGCTCGCTTGGGAAACCGAGTGAAGAGCGTTCAAATCCTGGGTCTCGCAACTCTGATATTTTCATGTGTGAATAATTGTAACATGATTACCACTTGTCTTACGGTGAAGGAAAACATAGTGAGGTAACCTGCATGTCTGAAAAAACTTAGTAAGTTTGAAAGACATGTGACGTCCACCAACCCGCACTTTGCCACCGTGGTGGACTATGGCTTGATCTCCCTCGTATTGATGGGAGGCCTGTGCCCAGCAATGGGACTTTAAAAAGGTCTAAATACCAGTATTTTTTGGTTTAACTTCCTATCTGGAAGCAAAAATTTAATATAAATAGGAAGTAAAGAAGGAATGCCATAATTTTATCACGGTACAATAAGTGCTAAAAATAATTATAAAGCTTAATTTAGTCTAAGCTTTTATTGGATTAGTTAATACATTCTATTGGCCATCCGTTTTTGTAGATATTTATTTGCTATAAAACAGTGCAGCCGAATAATTTTATGTATCTCTTAAGTTTACTTCGAAGAGTTAAAACGTTTAAAAAGAGATTAATTACGAATTCCTACAAAACACGCTGACAGTTGCATTGAGATAACCTTTTACACACTAGTTAAGTAGTTATCAAGATGTTTCATAAATAATTATTTTATAACTAAAAGGTTAGAAAAACTTCAAAATAATCTAAGAAAGAATAATTCCAACATTAAAAACTGTATTTTTTATTTAAGAACCCTTACTTATTGAATTTAGTTAAAACATAGAATAAAATGAGGAACTACGATTCTTATATTTATTTATATTTATTTTTAGCTAACTATTGACTTGATATAAATAAATATTATTTGTCAACAGATCTCTCCTACTGGAGTCATTTATGCTGGAAAACTCGGCGATGTGTTCTTGACGCCGAAAACAAACTTAGAAAGGTAAGTGCTTATAATATACTCGTACCACCATCGATCAAAAAACTAGATACACAGTCCCATGCAAAAGTTATCTTCAAACTGTCACTAATTGTGCTTAGTTAATTATCTGAGTTGAAATAAATATACAACAATGTATTGACCCTTAAATGCCATGCTTAGTTGTTTTCACAAAAAATAATTAAAAGCGCGCTCAAATGTTCAAATGAGCGCTTATTCGGTGAAGACATTTTTTGTCGCTGATTGTGTACTTTTTTGATCGATGCGTACTATTATAATTTTGAAAATGTACTGTGCTGCGTAAATCATACGATACATTAATTGCAAGTTCAGAATGAATTTAGATAAATCATAATAGATATGTTATGAACTTGAAATATCGATTTTATATGGAAATTTTAAGCTATATGACCAGTTAGATAACATAAAACATAAATATTATATAATTGCTTTTTAATTTGAGTGCAGTAAAAAATTGTATACGTATAAAATTATAATTAAGTGATTAATGCCTCATTTTTTTATACTAAATGCTTACGATAGTTATTTAAAAAAAATCAAAATATATACATTAATAAACTAAAAGTATAAGAAAAAACACATTTCTTCTCTAGTAAATATGTATAGCTTCTATGCTGTACTATATATTATGGAGTCCATATGTATAGCCTATACAGATGTTCTGGTTTTGAAAATGAAAAGTATTAACAAGGAGGTTTGACAATATGAAGGAAATTTTGTAGCTAAATATGTATATATAGCTAAATAACAGAATATATTTGAAAAAAATTAGAACACATGCACGTGTATTCAGCCCTTTTTAACGTCCCACTGCTGGGCACGGGCCTCCCTTCAATGCGAGGGGTATGAGGCACAGTACACCACGCTTGATAAGTGCGGGTTGGCGGACTTCACATGTCTTTCGAAAATTTGCAAGGTTTTCTCATACAGTTTCCTCACGATGTTTTCATTCACCGTAAGCCAATTATTATGTTTGAAATGATTTGCACATGAAAATATCAGAGGTGCGAGACCCGGGATTTGAACCCGCTTCACTCGGTTTTCCAAGCAAGAATTAGTACTGGGCTACCACTACCTTATAAAACACTATATTTGTTCATTGAATATTTATTTAGTACAAGCACAGATCATATAATACTGGTACTAGCGACTCACTCTCGCTCCGCTCGGTTTCGTCCCTGCTTTTTAACGGTTAGTATACATAGATTTCTCAGAGATGAGATAATATGTTCCCGCAGTAAAAAGTATCCTATATGTTAACCCGGATAACCAGCTATCATCATACCAAATTTCATCAAAATCTGTTGAGTGGTTTTCTCGTGATGCGTTCCCAGATAGACACACATACAGACAAAATTTTAAAAAACTATAGATTCGGCGTCTGTATCGATAATAACTTGTATGTAAAAAAATAACTATTTCAATCAGATTTTACAAAAAATATTTAATGTACAGATTCGAATCGGTTACAATTTTATTATATGTATAGATAAATATACCAGTTTAAAACACCAGTTGAATAGGATATGCTTGAAACAATTACTGTACTGTACTGTCCAACTGGTAAGGAATGGTTTGAATGGAGGTAAATGAATGTAGCATGCAATTAAGGGAGTAAAGGTATAATTTATCATTAATTACGTGATTCTGATGGTATACGACGAATTGCGCGGTACATCATTGCTTTGACAAAAAGCCACGACTTTGTGCTATGTCTGACGAATGTGTTGATATTGATATATTAAGGTGGCTTAATGAATTTTTCATAATTTAATATAATAAGTACTTCGTTGGAGGTTTAAATTAATATCAGGATGAGTTTAATATATACATTAAATGTTTGTATATTAAGATATGTGACTAATTCCCGCTTGATTAGGTCTTACATTTGTTTGCGATTTGATTTTATACAAAAAATTATAAATAACTTTGATATAAAATCAAATGTATTAAATTTATATATAAAAATTAATAAATAATATTATTAACAAAAAAACAACGTGTGTGTGTGTGTGTTTATTTACTTTTATTGTATGTTATCTATTTAATTTACTTATGTACACACGTAAGAAGTTATCATTCTTTGGTGTAACAGAACAAAAATAGCTAAAGATTCCATCCCAATAAGTAAAAGGAATGCAGCTAACTTTAGCGTGTTGTTTTCGGCTAACTTCGTCATGTCGCTTTTTGGCTGTCGGTATGCGCGTCCCATAAGAAGTATAATTCAGTAAAAACATATTTTCCATAAACAAAATAATTGATTTATTGATTAAAATGAAAATTAAATACGAAATTAATTCATACAAAGCCCATAATATGGCACATGCCATTTCTCAGCGAATTTTCTTTGTCAAATAACAAGTGCTATTAAAACCGCTATTATCTGTTAATAAATAAAATTAAAGAAATAATAATTTAAAACTTACATCACTGAACGTAAATTCTTTTAGCGATTTTATCGTAAAATGTCAAACTAAAGAATAATTAAAACGGAGTGCAGTCACTTCGTTGAATCATAAACTTTTTGACGATTTTAGTTCATTACAAAAGATATATTCATGGAGATATAAATTAAAATTTATTAGAAGTTTCGGAAAAACCCAGAAGAATATTTATTACAACATTAACTTATTTTGTTTACATGTCAGTTTATCTCTCGTTCAGCTCATGTCATCTTATTTTAAATGCATTTGCTTAATTATAATTATACCTATTTAACTTCAGTATTATGCCATTTTTTTATTATGGTACCCATCCATAGTAACAAATACAATATATAACATATTATGGTACCACTGAGTGACGGAGCTATTCTGACGATGAATCCAGAAGTTTTATAGAGTGTCCTCCACTATAGAACTAAAATTTAAGTCTAATTCGCACTAACTGTCCCTTAGCCACTTACCATACAGTACATCTATACATATAATAAAATTGTAATTAAGCCGAATGTGTACATTAAATATTTTTTGGATAATTCTATTGAAATAGAAATTATTATCGATGTAGAAGCCGAATCTATAGTTTTTAGATTTTTCGTCCGTCCGTCCGTCCGTCCGTCTGTCTGTCTGTCTGTCTGTATGTCCGTCTGTCTGTTTATCTGTCTGGCTGTTACCGCATCACGGAAAAACCACTGGAGGCAATTTCATGAAATTTGGTATGGTGATAGCTGGTTATCAGGGTCAACATATAGAATACTTGTTACCGCGGGAAAATATCTCATTTCTGAGTAAAAGTACAAGCACTGCATTGTAAGAGTATACCAATATGTAAAACCTAAGAATTTGGTTTTTGGTAATCTGAACGCGGGCGGAGCCGCTGGCAATGCTAGTACATGTATTTATATATACAATATTCCCATACTAATATTATTACTGTACATATTTTGTTTTTTTATCCCATAACAGGTCCACGATGTGATTTTTTATAGAGAAATTAATTATGAGTATAATGAGATAGGCTAGTTTTTTATCCCAGTACATAAAGCTCCCGTGGGAAATTATAATATTGCAAAAGAAAATGTAAAAGGTTACATGGGGTGTGGTTATAGGGTTGACTGAAGCGAGGGCGCGTCACTATAAACTCCCTATAAAACAAACTTATTTGCCCCACGCAAGTATCAAACTTATGGACTTTTGACTTATTAGAGTATAGTATTATTGCAATATTAGATAGACAAATAACATAAAATTTAGTTCAGATAACTTCAAAATTGCTTATTGCACTATATTACATTTTAAATTGGTTCGACGTTCAAGATTTAACCGAAAAGTCAAGGACTTGTAGCTAATATCAGGGCAAAATTACGTCGTAATTAGAAAACAAGGTGTATTACAATAATTACACGTATTCATAGGTAGCAGGTACAGAAATAAGATGAGCTCGGTATTGCTAAAAATAGAAAAAATACTTATAGGATGTCTTTTTGTTTTATCTCTTTTGCCTTTGATTAGGACTACTGTATAAATGCCGTGGGTTTTATTCTCGTGTAGGGTAGATTTTTGTATTGAACGTGTTTACCAGAAGTTAAACGTTGTGTGAAACCGATTCTTACTGTAATAAACATGGAACTCCATGAAATGTTTTTAATAGTATGTGAATTGATATATAGTCATAGACATAAGAATTTTAATTTTAAATTAAGGATAGAACTCAGTGAGAGTTACAAAAATGTATTGTAATGAATTAAAAATATTTATTTAGTTTTTTCTTTTATCTTTTAAATCAATATATAAAAACACTGAAGTTATAAATGAAAGCAACAAGAAATATAAAAAGAAACTATATGTACCTACATATTTCTCATAGTTTGTGGTGAACAAAGGAGTGTAATATTAATTTTAAATAACAGTTTAGGATATATAAGGATTTAAAGTTGGTTAACAACCATTCTCGCTAATTTTCCTACTTAAAAATACTAAAAAAGCTGTTAATCAATAAATAAATATATTATGAAAATACAAAACCAGACTGCATAAAAGCCAACTAAAAAATTGAAAACAAGTTCACGAAGTAATATAGTATTATGCAGTTGGAGACATACATACGAGTATTGTATCTTGCGGTAAGGATCAAATATGTATGTCTCCGACTGCATAATACTATATACCATCGTTGACTTATTTTCATCTTTTTTATCTTCTTTATAATATATTTATTTATTATATACTCGTACCTATAATGTTACATCTAAGCCTAACACAAAGCATTACGCAAAAGAAACATCACTAAGATACAATGTGTTAATTAAAGAACCCAAAAAATTGGTGTAATACATCTTAGTAAGGTGCGGTCTTAAAATATAAGCAAATATGCCTTATAACATTCGTAGAACAAAATCGATATCCACCCACAGTCTACACGCGATCTGCATTGTACGAATAAATGCTGTTGCCAACTCTGCTGAAAGTCACGTAACGTAAAAAAATCCTTAAATATATTCCTACATATTTTGTACAATGGCTACATACATCTATACTAAT